AGGAAATTGGCAGGTATAGGTGGGATCGATGGAAGGAGAAAGGGATTAATTTATTATTATTATTATTATTATTATTATTATTATTAAGTAGAACTCGTTTCTATACTATATGAAAAATATTGAAATTTTGATTGTAATTATTATTTTTATTTCGTTATTTTATAAAATTTTAAAGGAGAAAAAGAACAACATAAATGATTTTGCAATACATTTATTTGATGTGATGGTAAAATAAAATAAATTAAAAAGACATGAGCGATTAATTAACAATTAAGCTAACGTACAAAAAAATTTGTATACATTTGTTAACACATGCTGAGGTGTTATATTATTTGAATGAACGACCAAAATATATGTCAACTCACCATTTGTCAAACAATCTATAAAGAAAAATTGGACAAATAACATATTCAATTATTAAATTAGATAAAATTAATGTTGTTAGAATTAGGGTGTATCCCAAATTCTATCTAAAATGTTACTTGGAATCCTATTCGAAGCTATTTGACAAATGCTAGGTAAAATTCTATTTAGAAACCCAATTAGAGGTTGGAATTTGTATTGAATTTGAAGATATCAAGATATGTAGGGGCGGACCTACGAGGGTTTACAGGGTCAAGTGACCCTCTAGATTTTGAAAAAAAGAAAAAGAAAAAAGAATTGTTTAATTTTTTTCTGTAGCTTATTTTTTATTAGAAGGCACCTTATAAATTTTATTTGTGACCACCTAATCCAAGTCATCTGGGTCTGCCCTTGAAGATATGGACAAGAGAAAAAATTTCAATGCTTTTTTCACTAGCTAGTTGCTAGTCTATTGCTCGACCGATGCCATCAAAATTCTATGTAAAGAGCTAGTGCCATCTTGGTACTGGCATGATGCTCGAGTGCCAGCTCATCCAGTTCTAACCCTTTATTTGAGTTTTGATGTTTTTTAAGCATTCCTTTCCATCTATAACTTTACTTTTAGGATTTTGGATGTCCCCTATATATATTTAGCTTTTCATTATATTTTAGATTAAGTTAGACAAAGTTATAAATACAAATCTTTGTATTCCTTCTCTATATTCTAGTTAAATCTAATTTACTTTGCAAATTATTTTGTTTTTGTTCTATTGTGTTCACTTACTTTATATCATGTCTATAATCTCTTATTTTCTTAAACAAATTGGTATCAGAGTAATCTAATATAATCTTCATTTTTTAACAAACTGGTATCGAAATTAAAGGCTTGGAAATTCTTTGGAGATCGAGGTTTTGATCATATTAAGAGCTCAGCTTGATCTTTTGTAATGACAACCATAAAGTATGATATTTCGCTTTTGGATAGCAGCACATGCTATTCGGTGTGGTAGCTCAACATGCGAGAAGTACTGACTCATATGGATTTGGATGACGTGTTGTTGGTTTTTGATAAAATGCCCACAACTTGGATGCCAGAGAAGAAACAGCGGAGAGATCGAAAGTCTCAATCTCAAATTCATCTTCATCTTTCAAATAATATTTTTTAGGTTGCTTTGAAGAAGAAGTCAGTCGTTGTATTATTGTTGAAATTGGAGCAATTATCATGATGAAGAGTCTAACTAGCAAATTGCATCTAAAGCAACATGTATATTCTCATCGTATGGCAGAAAATATATCCTTTGAAAACCATCTAGTTGTTTTTTAGGAAATCATCGTTGATTAGAAACCTTGGAGGCTAAATATGATGAAGATGATTTAAGTTTGATTTTGTTATGTTCATTGCTTGCTTCATATATGTCTTTTAGAACAATTTTATATAATCGTGATACTCTCACCATTGAAAAAATCTATTATGCCATATATTTAAAGGAGAAAAAGAAACATCTTGTTGGATTTTAGGTTCATTGAGATGGCCTCGTTGTTGATGATGGTTATGCAAGGAGCAAATTAGAGTCCAACTTTAAATTTTGTAATTATTGCAAGAAAAATGGACACCTGATATAGGATTGTTATGAGTTATAGAATTAAAGAAAAATTGGTTGCAAATCAGAAATCAGAAACTTTAGGGGAAGCCAGTATTGGAGAAAATTGCTATAGTGATAGAGAACTTTTACTTATTTCTTACTATGATTTCAAACTTGATAACAACTTGCACTTTTCATATATCTCTAAATCAGGATGTATTTTCGACATATGAAACAGTTAATATGTTGTGGTAATGAAAAATAATACATTTTATAGGATAGCTGGTATCGATAGGGTTATGATAAAGATGTTTGATGGGATGGTTAGAACACTCAATGCAGTGAGACACAACTAGATTTGAAGAGAAATGTTATTTCCTTGAGTACCTTTGATTCAAATGGTAAAAGTACACTATTGAAAGTGGAGTTCTGAAGGTTAATAAGTGAGTCAATATTTTGTTGAATGGACATAGAAAATCCCAGTTATATGTATTGTAGTGTTGTAGAGAGTCTTTGATCAATTAGCATGTTTTAAGAACTCAGGTGAATTTGGAGTTGAATTCTGCACTCTTGGAGTCTACTTTGGGGTATTTTTTGAAGAATACATCTCAATTGAATTTAAAAGTTATGGGCAATATTCTTTTACCACCATTATCAATGTTGCTATTGTATTTAATTGCTAGTAACAAACCCTTTTTTGATCATAAGTCTCCACATAAGTACAATATTGCTAATTTAGCCCTTGGTTGGTAGAGATTAGAATTAGATTTTTAATAAATTTTTGATAGAAATTTTTGAAATTTGTGGTTGAAAAGCTGTGGAACTTATGAAAAATGTTGTTAAAATGATTATTTAATTTTCATTTAGATTAAAATCTGATTCAAATAAATACAAAACAGGGTCTTAGCTGAATATGATTTGAATGTGGTTAAGGGTGTTGATTCTAGTCAAAACCATTCTTTTTTATACATTCAATTGTGGCAATTCTGTTTTAGGGCTTGTTTCTGCTCTGTTTGGTGACGTCCAAGCCCAGTGCTTGAAATTTTATTAGTTGGGTAGCAGAGTTTTGGAGAATATTTCTAATTGAAAATTTTGATGGAGAATTTCGTTTGTGTTTTTGTTGAATAGTTGAAGTTTATTTCTTACAGTGGAACTTGTCTTCGAGCGAAGAATCTGTGAAGTTTGTTCCTTGCAATAGAATTCATGTCAATGTGGAGTTTGTTAGAATCAGTGTGTAACTCGAATTCTATTTGGAATCCTATTTTAAGTTTATTCGGCAAATTCTAGTTAAAGTTTTATTTGGAAGCCCAATCGAGAGTTGTAATGTGTATTGGATATGAAGAGGTCAAGATATGGACCATGGAAAAATTTTCGGTGCTTTTATGCTAGCTGGTCGTTAGCTTACCACTAGAGTGATGCTGTCGAAATTCTATGTAGAGAGCTAGCGCTTGCTTGTCTCTAGTTTAGCGATCGAGCAGCACTTTGTCTAGCCCACGCCAATCTTCATGTTTTTACTCATTTTGAGCATTCATTTCTATCTATATCTCTACTTCTAACGTTTTGGAAGTCTCTT